GTCTGTAACATAGCATTATCACTGGTGATTCTAGACGTTGCCTCCTCTTGGGTATTGGCATACCATAGCCTCGCTACATTGGTGGAAGGTAGTACATACATTGTTAGGAGAAAACACCCTGTATCTTGACATAGTAGATATCCTAGGTTCTTTCACAAAGAAGCAAGTCATAATTGACCCAATGGAAAAAGACTCATGACATGAAGTAGTCTAGGCAAAAGAGACCATGACCTTCGTTACTCCACATAGGGTATAATTACAATTTATACTGGCTCTGTTTTCTATTTCCTGCTGAAAATGAAGGCCAAGGGTTGTGTGTGCATGTTATCTTAGGTTCAACTGGGTTGGGATAGAACATGTGGAGACGGCTACTATGGGCAGGTCGAGGGGGAAGTATCCCAGTCTATGCCGTATGTGGGCTGCCAGGCCCTGCCCAAGGAGGCTTACTAGTAGCCAAGATACCATAGGAAATTGAGCCTCATGATGAACAGTTATTTACCCATCTGGCGCCTTTCTTAATAGCATAAAGCATTGAGCCCCTGCCTCATAACATCCTACTGAAGAAAGGAAGTGGCAGATAGTGTTAAACGTTACTGGTTAATCATGGGGAAACAAGCATGGATAGGTTTATGGGGCTTGAGCCGAGTTACACAATGCCTTAGTGTCTGGCCTGGGAATGAAGCCTGAGTTTGCCGCTTGCTGTCAGGACTGCCGACAGCATTGTGTTTCGCATTGTACAGCAGTGAAAAGGGCTTACCCTTCACAATGCAAGAGCTTCTGTAGGAGACAAACACAATGAACTTTAGTACAGTATAGTCTAGAGGCCAAAATGAGTAATTTTAAGTAAATTGACTATAAGATCCAAAGCTTCATTAAGTTTTAAAAAACAAAAAACAAATGAAAACTTTGTACAGTGTTAGGAACTGACTAAAAAAAACCCCATGAATATTCTCCCCCCCCACTTGAAGTGGCATACTCTTAAAAGTTTTACTTTGTTGGCTCACAAGCTGACTCTTTGCCTGTTAACCATGGGATTTACTTATTTCATACACATTTCCAGTGTCCTGTGATCTGTTTAAAAGATTCTGCCTTGTAATAACTGTCAGTTTAACATTTTTTTTTTTTCCAAAATGCCTTTTTTCCATAGCTTGAGCTGTGGGAAGGACTTTTATTTTATTCTGATTTCATTTAGGTTCCTCCAGAACAGATGGAACTATAGAGCCTAGACTGTAGGAAAGCAGTAGGGGTGTGCAAAGGGGAATTGTGACAATCAGTACATTCTATGTGATTGGAACCATTAGGAAGCTATGACACCACTGGAACAAATGTACAGAGAAAGGTAGAATATGGTTTCTAAATTGTCTTATGTCAGAAGTGACTTCAGTGACCTGCAATAAACTAACAGGTATAGATATTAATGAGCTTAATGTCTTAGTTACTTTTTTGTTGCTGGTACAAAATACCTGACACACACAAGTCAAAGGAGGAAAGGTTTATTTTTAGCCCATAGTTTATAGAGGATTCAGTTTACAGCCAGCTAGTTCCAAGGCAGGGCTTCTTAGCAGAGGGACATGGTAGACAAAAAACAGTTCATAGTGTGGCAGGTAGGAGGCAGTAGTCTTCCTTCTGCTTTCTCTTTTATTTCATCCAGACTACAAGCCCATTGGATGGTGCCACTGATCCTAGGGTGGGGCTTCCCACTATCTGCACCCAGAATTATGCTAAACCAATCAGTGGATTAATCCAATTATCGCAGCCTTAATCCAAGATCACACACCCATCATTCAACCACTCCCAAAAGCCCTACCCATGAGCACATGAGGCTTTGTGGGGACATCTAGATACAAGCCTGACAGATACAAAGTTTTTACACTGCATTGTAAAGAGAGCATGAAGATGAAATTGTGGAACTTTTGGCCAAAGCATGTTCCTGATATTTGAATAATTTAAACAGTCACATAATTTTACTTTGTACTTAAGAGTTATAATAGTTTGGGCCAGGGTAGTTGGGTCATCTCCTTTTCTCTCCAGGAGACAGTGTAGTAGAATTCTGGCAGAAAAGCTGAGAAAGAATGGAGGTTTCCAGAGAAGGAATAAGGTACTTCCCCAGTTACTTTATGGAAAAAAAACAAAAACAAAAACAAAGAGCCCAGTAAGAGAACTGTGTTTTGCCTGTTTTAGTTGAATATGGAAAAACCTCTCCTAAATATGAAGAGCTGCTATCTTCAGGGAATACATGGTACCTACAAAAATCTGTCTTTGGGTAAAACTCTTTATCATGACTTTGGGAGACTTTGTTTTTCACAGATGACAAATGTTTGTGAAAAGTTGGACAATATCAGCTAGCCCTCACATGAATGTAGGATGTGATATGTTGGGATCTAGGAGGCCGTTTACAGTTGTCATTAATCATGTAGGAGAAGGCATAATGGAACTAAATCATGGCCAAGAAAAAGCGCCTAATATGAATGAATAGGAGGAGTTGATATATGAAGGCAGACTGAATAATTAGGACTCCTCTGGCTTGAAAAGACTGAGAGCACATGTAGTGGGAGTGTAGTAAATCTATGAATATGGATCATAAAAAAGTTTTGCCAGAATTTAGCAGAACTTTTGAGAAACTGAGGAAAAGTGAATTTAGTACAGAAAAAGCTCTCATCTTCCAAGAAAGTAGATCCTATACATCAAAACCTCCCTTTGGGGAATTAGGCTACCTTCTGGATTGACATGAAGTAAAAAAGTCAAGGGTTCCTCTGACTTTGATGCTATTTTCTTGAGGCATGGGCAGCCAGAGAATATAGATTAAGCCTCCTGTTAACTTTCGTATTCTCTTTTCTTAGGTCACACTTCCATGTCATTCACGCTTGACACCAATTGCTAAAACAATCAGGGTCAGAGCAGACTGCCCTAAGGAAGAGGTGGTTAAGCAGAGACTTGCAAACTGGTGAGGAAATAGCTCAGGCAGGAGGTGAAGGAAGAGGGAACAGCATAGGAAGATGCCTCAAGTAAGACACGGTCAGCAAGACTGAGCCAGAGTGGGAGGCCAGAGGCTGTTGGCCAGTCTGGAGCAGGTCCTGGAGGCCCTTGGGGACTGTGATAAGGATTTGGGCCCAAGAGCAGGTAGAAGAAACTGAAGTGGTTTAAGCAGATAAAAAATCAGACTTTCTCATAATAAACAGTTATGGTGGCTGCTGGGTAGAAAACAGGGCAAGAGTAAGTTTGCAGGAACTTGTAGGAGAACATTGATGTTGTCTAGATAATGATAGCCGGGGCTAGAGAGAAGCAAGGTGGATTCTAAGAGCTGTTTCAGAGGTTTGATGGACCAGCCTGGCTGACTGGATATGAAAAATAATCAGACTTGATTTATGGGAGTGTGACAGCGAGTTATGACTCAGATTTTATCTGAGTGAGAAAAATCAACACAAGCCCTTTGTAGGTTTCTTCTGTCATGATTTCCAGATGACCCAGAAGTGAGTAGGCCTGCCTTCTCCTGGCTTCCCCTTCTCTTTTTACTTTCTCTGTGAATCATTTAGGGCTTAAATATTTCAGGCTCTACAAAGGTAGCACACAGTTGGCCCCCAGTAAGTGGGTAAGTGGAAAGATCACTTTGTGAATGACATCGTATTTCCCTAATTCCCTTATCGTTACTCTTGCAGAGTAAACAGGTTTGTGCAGTGAAGAAGCTACACTACAGTTCATAGTACCCAATGTCAGTTGACGTGAAGCAGAATTTAGCAAAGCCCGAGAAGACTGTGATATGTACATACATTACATTTAATGATTTTATGTCCTTTATTTTGGCTAGGAGTGATGATGCTCACCTATAATCTCAGCTATTCAGGAGGCTAAAGCAGGGAGATGGCAAGTTCCAGCCCAGCCTGGCTAATTTAGTAAGACCCTGTGTCAAAAATAAAATAAGGTGGCTGAGAGTATAGCTCAGTGATGGAGCATTTACTTAGCATGCATAAAGCCTTGGGTTTGATTCCTAGCACCACCAAAAACCAAAACCAAAATAAAACAACAACAACAGCAAAACCCACACCACTTTTTAGAAATGGAAATCAAAGAGTTGTAAGTCTAGAACAAAGAATATGGGCATTTTGCTCCACTTTACTAGCCATTGTTAACATTTTACCATATAGTACTTGCTTTATCACACTCCTTACCAGACAGAGATGAGAGATTTAGAATTTTTCTGAGCCAGTTAATTGCAGACACCAAGACCTCTTCAGTTCTTAAGTGTGTTTTCCCAGAACAATGATTTTTCCTTACATAACACAGTACAGTTACTTAATTCAGAAAATGTAACCTTATACAACACTGTTATCTAATATGCAGTCTATATTCAGTCCTCACTGTTGTCCCAATAATGTCATTGATGGCACTTTTCCATTCTGATCAGGATCTAATCTAAGATACAATGAATTTCATATTATATGTTTTTAATCTTTAACCTGGAATAGTTTCTTAGTTTTTCTTTGAATTTTAAGACATTTATATTATAAAAAATAGGCCAGTTGTTTTCTAGGATACCTTGGGTTTATCTGGTTTCCTCATACTGAGGTTCATGGTGTGCACTTTGGCAGGAATGCTGCATGGTGATATACTTAGTCCGGTGCATCTGCCCCTGAAGGAAGAGGGCCAGAGGGGTAGATGCATCTTGTGACTGGTGATGGTAATTTTAATACTTGGTTAAGGTTATGTCATCTATATTTCTTCACTCAAAAGTTATAGTTTTTCTCCTTATAATTCATGGATTACTTGTCTCTTAATATTTATTTTAGTCACTTCAAATCTTACTAAGGTATATCTCCACTGTCTTATTTAGAATAACGCTTTTCCTC